GCCATGGTCAAATCAAAGACTTACAGCTGTTCAGAGAGCAAGCAATGCAGTTATGGCTTCTGGGCTCAGCCTTTCTGAAATATTTGATTGAGCCTATTGTCATTACATTTTCCTAACACTGCATCTCCAAAAAGTTGTATCATGTTAGTTCATAGTAGGCACCTGTGAGCTCTTCTATCATTTGAATTTCCCATAATGTCTTAATGTAGCATCAGCGGGAGTCAAACAGTATATCTGCCAGCATAATTGCTTCTGCCAATGGAATTGAGAATAGGCATATTTCTGTTCCTCACAGCTAGATTTAAGTCATAAAGGAAATTGAAAATGGCAGACAGAACAGCTAACAGCTAGCCTTTGTCTATGGAAATGTATAGGCGTTCAAGTGTTATGTTGGTCCAGAAGGTCTGTATGTTTTTTCAAAATGGTGATACAGTCCCTGCACTAACCTCATACCTCCATTATGTACTTTCTGTCCTGATGTCCCTCTGTTCTGAGCTAATTTCTTCTATAGGAGCAAGGAATAAAACAGAAGGGGAATCACCCAACTGTAGAGAAATAACACACAAAGTGTGTTCAGTTTCATTCCTCTGCATGCATCTTTTTATTCCTGACACACTCCACTCACTCCATACTTTCTTTATATATGAATGGGGTGGACATGTAAATGATGGTCCTGAATTGAGCCGGAGAACTAGGCTTTATTCAGAATTGTTTCTCTCTTCATTAGCAGTTTATTGTATGATCAGAAGAGATGGGCCCAAGGTCAAATTATGATTTGCTTATGCTATTTCATTTTAGTTCAAGCTCTGTTAACAGCTACCTATACATAAATCTAGACAAATGAATAACTAACCTGGCACCTGGGGCTGAACCAGATGTTTTGACTGGAGTCCAACTCTGGGATACTGAAAAATGCAATGACAACACAAGTACCTTAGAATGTTATGAACAATAATGTATAGAAGTGTGGGATATACAGAATGTAAATTTTCTCGGTGTATTCCAAAACTAGAACACACTGAAACAAGCTGACTGTACATAATTTTTAAACCATAGGAGCTCTGCAGGAAAGAGTGTCACTCACAAAAGCAGTAATTTATCTAGTGATTAACTGCACAAATGGTTGCATTACACATCTAGCATCAAAATGTTAAAAGCCTGAAGGATAAAAACAGACAACAGTATCAAAAAATAATGAGGGTCAACAACAGCTATCAAAGGTGATGTGCTATGTAGCAAATCAGCAGCAAATTCAGAGCTTATGATAATGTAAGATGGATTTATAACTGCCGGGGATTTACATTTAATGGCACGAGATGGAGTGGGGTCACAGAATATTTTTTCGTGTCAGGAGTGACTTCAGAAACTGCAAGTTGCTTCTGGAATGAGAGAATTGGCTGTCTATAAGGATGTTGCCCAGGGGATGCCTGGATGTTTGGTGTTTCACCATCCTTGTGTCAGACTTCTCTCATGTCTCTGCATGGGGAGTTGGAGCTGACAGAAGGAGCTCATCCCACTCTGCCCGGATTCGAACCACTGACCTACTAGTCAGCAGTCCTGCCAGCACAAGGGTTTAATCCCTTGTGCTACCATTGTTGAAGGCTTGACAATGCTCTCACATGATTCTTTGGATCGTTGCAGTGTGGCACTGAGTTTCCTGGTTTCTTTGGGGCCATGTAGGAATTCCCCCCACCCCCAGTATTTTTTGTTTTGTTTTCCTATCCCATGCTGTATCTGAGGGAGATAAGTGATTGATTCAGGGTGGTGTGTGCAAATAGGCTGTGATTTGGCAGGGAGGAGAGGGAGAAAGTCTTTGATGTACACCCTGGCACTCCTTTTGGTGAAGGATAGGGCTCTGATTCAACCGCTACAGTTTCTAGAACCTTTGGGATAGGGGAAGGATTCTGCTCTTGAGGCTAACCTAAAGACTTTGCTCTCACTTACTAGATCCATGACTTTGGGCGGGAGCTCTGGGTTTGTTTTCCAGTAAGTAACCAATCACAAAAACCCAGCTATTGTGTTTATGATGGAAGTCAGGTGTTTCCCCAAAGGTATGTTGAGAAGAGAGCCTAGGATAGACACCTGAACTGGACTGGCCTCAGGGTACTCCCTTTTCAGGTCCAATTAAGTAATACAGATTAAATAAAGTGGTTTTGATTCAACCCAAATTTCTGTTTCTGGTCTCATTATGTCATTGTTGGTCGTAAAAAAAATCCAGAGGAAACTATGGTGTTCTATTTTCACTTTTTTATATATATACAAGCAACATCACTACACTATTTTAGTTTGATTAGAATGCTGCCAAACTTATTTTATGAGTTCAGTTCTACTCACCTGTATTGAACACATACAGGTCATCAACAGCTTTTCCACACTTGGTACCACCATACACATAGATGTTTTCCCCTACAACAGCTGAACTGTGTTTGAGAGTTAGAGGTGCAATACCAGTGGTAGTAACTTTCTGCCAGGTTAAGGAACCTTAAGAATAAGAAATAATAGCAAATTAGTCCTTTCTTTAGAAAGGGGGAAGGGGAGCTGGCAGGGAAATTTCTAGTTTTGCTTATTTCTCAGTGGCATGGAAATCTACAGTGCAGAGTGTTCTTAGATTTCTTCACATGTTCTGCAAATTGCAGCGTTCAAAACAATTCCCTTCTTCGTTTTGTTTTAATGTAATGTATAGTCCCAGAACTGACCTATGGAGTTGTTCCTCAGATTGGGGAAAGCACCAATAACACCTCAGAAAGCCATCCATCTCTGGCCACCACCAGCATAACTTTCCTGCTTATTCAGAAAGGCCTCCTCTCACTCAGAGAGATAGTTAGTTGTGTTTATAATTATTAATAATAATTATTATTATGGTATTATTACATCATATAAAAAAGGAACCATGTCATTGTTTGAATAGTCTGGCAAAAGGCAAGAGCTTAGTCTGTCCCGGGGAAACTAAAAGGACCAATGCCCTCTCCTCTTGGTGCTCCTTAAAGGGGAAGACCAAAGAGCAGTTGCCACTGGCCTTTTCTCACCAAGATATATTTTTAAAAAACCCCAGAAGTATTGCTATAGTGGAGAGAGTAGAGGGTGAAAGGGCTTATTTTAGATTCTAGCAAGATGGACTATGCTCTTGTCTTTTGCCAGTATATTCAGAGATGGTCCCTTTTTTGACAAGATTGAAGTGTTTATGCATGGATCCACTGATCCATGAATATGTCAACCTACATTTTTGGGTTGATATTTTGCCTAAAATGTCTAGACTTTTACATGAGTATTTACAGCACTCCAAGGAAAGGTTGCTCTCTGTTGCTGGAGCCTTTCGTTGGATGTGAATCCACTTCAGCTTGCAATTTCTTCTTTCCAGTGGAGATGCAAAGATTTGTACACTATTCCTGGCAATATCAATTTTCATCAGGACTCCCTATCCACTAGAACCCCCTTGAAACAGAGCATTAAATCAGTGGCCTTAACTGGGATGTGGTATGAATTTGGCCATTCATCTTTGGACGCAAATTAGAACATCCACTTGTGCAAAGACAACTTCTGCCATGGGCTTTAATTGGAATTTTCTTGGGCCTAAATTCAAGTCTAATTCCATTTAATCCATTAATGACTGATAATTAATAAATAAATGAACATGTATTTAATTCCCATTCATTCAATGGATTTACTCTACTTGCACTAAATGAATTCATTTAAGTCTGTGGGGTAACACAGAATCAGTATTATTAGGCTTATTCTTTAACATACATATATTTTGAGAAATCATCACTGATATCACCATTCACCACTAAGTACCTCTGGAGTGAGAACATACAGTAAGACCCTTGTAAGCATAGAACCCGTAGCAAATTCTCTAGGAATTTGCTAAGTCCTCCAAGTAATTATATGGTAATCTTTCCCCCAAAGTGACTATAGAGTCACCCTGAAGTACCTATCACATTCCTAGAGAAGATACTTCTTGAGGAATTTCTAGATCTATCAAGAAAACTCTATGCTGGTACTGGAGGTTAGGGAATTCAGTGAACATCAGTCATGGTTGCAGGTAATCATGGGCTGGCCAGAAACATATTCTCTGCAAATTCCAGGATTTTACTGTTTCTCTTTCTCAGGGGTTCTTAATATTGAGCTCAAATGTTCCTAATATGAGCTATAACACAAAATGCCCAATCTGGGTGCAGCTAGACATTCACCATTGGACTGCACACAGCTGAGTTAACATCTCTGCTTCTTTTCAACATTTTCTCGTAAAGTCACTGGTCCCCTCCTTCCTTCATTTTGAGACAATTACTGGCAAACCCTGAGACTTTCTAGGAAACTGATTTATGAGGTCCTGCTGCTCAACAGTCTTGAATCATACAATTAGTCCTGAAATATGAACCATCTGGATGAACTCCTGAGATAACCCCTCTATAAACCAGCTACATATATTAACATTGTGCAGTAGATCTGTAAAAAAAAACATATTCATCTCCTTTAGAAGGCAGTCAACATTCATTTTCTTTGTAATATCATATAACTATTGCTCAAATTAGGGCTTGGGTACTACCCCAGGCTAAATTCATACACACTGGAGTGCTTTGACTTCTGGAACTAATCAGTCTAAAGTGGGATTTAAAATATGCTGTATTATAACTGGCATTCAGCAGTACTGAGTAAGCCTTTGATTTGGAATGTTCTCAGCAGGGATCCTAACCAAGGAGCCAAATCACCTTCAGCGAGCAAAGATATATATCTGGAAATGAGTTGTTCAAAGTAGTGACATTCCTCTTGGTTCCATGGGAAAGCAGGCTTCAGAGCTCCATGGCAATAGACTTAATCAAATGGTATTTCATTCGTTTGTTCAGCCACTAGGTAATATATCAGGGCAGAATGAGCTCCAATTTTCCATGAACAGAAATAATGAATAAACCCACCAGAGGGAAAGCATAAGTTATGAACTAGAAGTTCAAGATATCCAATTAGAATGTTGTATATGTGTTTTACAGCTTATAATTTTAAATGGGCCTATAACTATAACACTAGAGATGGGAATTGGTAATATCCCCTTCACCATCACACTAAAGATAATACTACAAAGATATGGTAAATTCGCCACATTCCGACAAGAGTGGAATCATTAGAAGTCTTTGTTGGAAGCCGACACTGTTGACCCACAAACAATAATAAATTATGATAATAAATGCCACTCATATAAAACATAAGCAAAAGCATTGTTGACTTGCCATTAACTAAATTAACTATAAATCCCTGGCAATCCAATTTTATATTTTTACTCACCAAGATCAAATATGTAGATGCCTGGAAGGCAGTGCTCAGCATTCTCACTTGAAGAACCTCCGAATAAATATATCTTGTCTTTTACTATGCTATAAAGGAAAGACAAATGTTACAGAACGCTATAAAACATCTCCCCTGTAGTTATAATTTTGTATAGAATAATAACAAAATTGTTTCACAATGAAAATTATTGTGGTCTAATAACCACCTGCCTTAGGGTAAAATAAAGGTTTTCCCCTGACATTAAGTCCAGTTGTGTCTGACTCTGGGGGTGTAGTGCTCATCTCCATTTCTAAGCCGAAGAACTGGCATTGTCCATAGACACCTCCAAGGTCATGTGGTCGGCATGATGGCATGGAGCGCTGTTACCTTCCCGCCAGAGTAGTACCTATTGATCTACTCACATTGGTATGTTTCAAACTGCTAGGTTGGCAGAAGCTGGGGTTAACTGTGTGAGGTTTTTGAGATATGTATTTTCCCCAAAGAACTCACAGCTTCAGACTCTTTCTTTCATGTCCTTCTTTCACATTGTTGTCTTATTTACTAAAATGGAAAGCCCCAAAATTGTTCATTGAAATATTCAAGATCTAGGAATGCATTTTTTTTAAAAATGGGAATAATATGGCAGAAGGATTAATAATGAATAGGGTTATTGACACATAGAAACCCCTTTCACTATCTTCATATCTCATCTGACCCAGGTTACTACTTGGATGGAGACTGCCAATGAATGCCAGGTGCTGTTTTAGAGGAAGGAACTGGCAAAACCATGTCTGTGTATTTCTAATAAAACCTTATAAAATTCATGCAGTTGCTATGAGTTGACATATGAGTTGAAGGCACACGCAGATAGCTGATCATTCTCTGTGCTAGTCTACCCGTAGCTCTCCCCAATAGATTTCAGTGATCTGAGAGAAACCCACACAGTCCATTTAGGAAGGTGCTCTCTGCAACATCTAAGGAAACAGTGATGATCACAACAACAGAGAAGCAATTGACAGTGACTACCTCCATATATAAAGTAGGCAAGCGTCCTCATCAGACAAAGTGACAAAAAGGTGGCATGTGCTGCTTCCTCTACAGTTTTATGATGGAGCCCACCAGCCCCCATCACATAGTGTTGAACTACTCCCACTGGGAATCCAACATAAAATTGTAGAGGAAGAATCGCATGCCGCCATGGTGGCAACAGAGGAAGACTTGCATGTTCAATGGTGATGGGGCAGAGGAGGGAAGCTGGGTGGCTAATGCTTCCACCTGTGGAATGGGGCAACAAGTGAGTCTGGCAATGTGGGGTGTGGGGTGACAGGTCCCCCCACCAAGCACTGTTGGACTTGCCATGATGTGTGGCAATTCTGGCAGCCCATCTGATGAGATTGTAAGAAGGAATACATATTGGTAGGGAGAAAATGCCCTGAAGAGAAATAACTACTTGAAAAAAATGTCTTTTGGACACAGTGGCATTTGCATTCAAATATACCATCCATCTGGAAATACAAATTCATATGTTCCTTTAAAGAGAAACCCACTGTTGTTTGGAGCTTGATGACATCTTTGAGGGAGGTGGCATGAAAAGCCCCATGTGGCTTTAACAGCTGTTGGCTCACAAATGTTTGTAGATCTGTACACTTTCTTGCTAGTAACATGCTAAATCTGGCAGAGGAATGCATTTGATTTCCAAGCATTAAAAGAAAGAAAAGAAGCAAGTCAAAGAAAAATAAATTGCCAAGCACTACCGTATCCAAAAGTGAAACATGTTCCAAGTGAGGAAAGGTTTTTTCCCCCTATATTTTATTTTAATGTGTGAGTAAAATAACATATCACTTAGGTATGAGTCTGTAGTGGTCTTTTGACAGGGGAAATGTTGTTCTTGTTTGAAAAAAAGAGAGAAAAATACTTGCTTTTGAATATATTCCAGTATCAATAATTTTATTATCATATAACAGTGGTGGAGTTCGGAGAAAACAAACCTTGCGATTTGAGTAGTTGCTGGGATTTATAGTTTACCTACAATCAAAGAGCGCTCTGAACCCCATCAACGATAGAATTGGGCCAAACTTCTCACACAGAGCCCCCATGACGAACAGTACCAGTGACTGCTCTGCCAATTTAAAAAGAAAATAATAGAATAACCCTATTTCAAAAGTTCTGGACTCTGAATAACACGGGGGCAACAGGAAGGACAATTTTTGTGGAGACCATTTTCCTGTTGTAGTTCTAAGGTGCTCCCACCTTCATGGACAGGATCATTTTGTTCAATCCAAACCAAATTACCTTTTTCATAACAGAAAACTTTAAAAGGCAGAAAACACATTTCTTCAGCAAAGAAAGGGGAAAAAACTACATCTTCCAGTCCAAAATTCCTTTCCTTCCAAACAAGTATGTGTTCTATGAAATAAGGTCATGATCAAAATTGAAGCAATATTGATCAAGTGACAAAAAGGATGCAAGTACTAACACTACTCAAGTTGAAATAAAATTGGGGTGAAATTAACAAGTTCAAAGATGCTAGAAAATTGAAAGCAGGAAATCAATCAGTGGATCAGTAAGGAGAAAGAACAAGCAGATTTTTTTAGCCAGGAACTAAGATTAAAAACAAAGCAGATATCAAGGTAGAAGCAAGACTGGATGAGGCACAGGAAATGTGGCTCAATTTGAAGGATGTAGTTGAGGGAAAGGACATGATAACTGCTGTTAAAAAAGACACACCAAGTACCCTAGAACTGAGAACAATCAGGAATACATAGTGACATGCAGCTGACTCATCAAGGATTGTACAAGGAAATTACTTTCGAAAAGGAAATGTTTAGTTCGTGTATGTAATTAAGACATGCTGAGACAAAATCTTGGAATTGGCTACACTGACTGCAGAATTATCTACTAAATCCTTATACTATATCATTTGGGGCTCTATAGCATCCCGGAAAATGTGCATTATCTGAAGAGAAACATAATTTGACTAATTAGGATCCTCATAATCTAGCTGTGCATTAATTTGGCACTGCATGCAATTAGATTCATATACTTTTTCTGTCCTGTTACCAGTTGATCAGGCAGCTAGCTCTGACTGATAAATATAGTTAAAAAAAAGAGGAAAATTCAAGTGCAATTTGGACAGCTGATTTCCTCACAGCTTAAGTGTGGATGGGCTCACTTAACAATGAATTAGTCACCAGGAACATGCTGTAGGTTCCTTCTGTAAGACATTTATTCTGTAAATGAGGCACTGATAACTATGCAGAAGAGCGATGCACAATAATATGGACTAACCCCTTGCGTTGCCCCAGTGGAGGCTGGAGTAATATGATCTTCAGAATCGTAGTCATGCTTGGCATCTTACTGCAGCTTGACTCACTTTAACTATTGTTGCTCAGTGCTGTGAAATCATTAGGTGAGCAAACCCTTCAGGCAGCGCAGAGCATTGTGTCCTCCATCTCTGAAGCCAAGAAAGAACAGTGGATCAAGCTGATCACAGAGGTCGGCATGGGCAGGAGCAGCCAGAAGGCATGGAGGCTGCTGAGACGGTTGAGCAATAACCCCTCACAAACTAATACCCATGCAGATCAGATAGCACACCAACGCTTGAAGAATTGGAAACCCAATTGTGCCACCAAAGTAGGAAAGAAACGAATAGCCAGACAACCAGAGATTGAGAACAACAACCTTCATGAACCCTTTAAATCTGCTGAATTGGACATGGCTCTCAATAAATGTAAAAATGGCAAAGCAGCAGGCCTGGATGACCTATGGATGGAACAAATCAAGAACTTTGGCCCAAAAGCAAGGCGCTGGCTGCTGGAGCTGATGAACAACTGCACTGCATCCTGTCAGATCCCCAAAATCTGGAGGAAAGCAAGAGTCATCGCCATCTTGAAGCCAGGCAAAGACCGTAATGACCCAAAAAGCTACAGACCAATCTCCCTGTTGTGCCACCTCTACAAAGTTCTGGAGAGACTTATTTTGCATAGAATTACGGAAAAATAGACCCATGTCTGATTCCACAGCAAACTGGCTTCAGAAAGGCAAAAGCTGCACATCGCAAGTGCTGAACCTGACTCAGCACATAGAAGATGGCTTTGAAAGGCAGCAGATCACAGGAGCTGTCTTCATAGACCTGTCAGCAGCCTATGATACTGTGAACCACCGCCTCCTCCTGAGAAAAATGTATAATATCACAAAGGACTACCACCTCACCCGCCTCATAGGAAACCTGCTACAAAACAGGAGCTTTTTTGTTGAGTTCCAGGGCCAGAGAAACAGATGGCGGAAACAGAAGAACGGCCTGCCTCAGGGGAGCGTGCTTGCTCCATCCATGTTCAACATCTACACAAATGACCAGCCACTGCCAGAAGGGACAGAGAGTTTCATCTATGCTGATGATCGTGCCATTACTGCTCAAGCAGGGAGCTTTGAGATGGTAGAACAGAAGCTTTCCGAAGCTCTAGGTGCTCTTACTGCCTATTACAGGGAAAACCAGCTGATCCCCAACCCATCTAAAACACAGACATGTGCCTTCCACCTTAAGAACAGACAAGCATCCCGAGCTCTGAGGATTACCTGGGAAGGAATCCCACTGGAGCATTGCAGCACACCCAAATCCCTGGGAGTCACTCTGGACCGTGCTCTTACCTACAAGAAGCACTGCCTGAACATCAAGCAAAAAGTGGGTGCTAGAAACAATATCATACGAAAGCTGACTGGCACAACCTGGGGATCACAACCAGATACAGTGAAGACATCTGCCCTTGCGCTGTGCTACTCTGCTGCTGAGTATGCATGCCCAGTGTGGAACACATCTCACCACACTAAAACAGTGGACATGGCTCTTAATGAGACATGCCGCATTATCACGGGGTGTCTGCGCCCTACACCACTGGAGAAATTACACTGCTTAGCTACATTGCACCACCTGACATCCGCCGGGAAGTAGCAGCCAATAGTGAAAGGACCAAGGCAGAGACATCTCCAGCTCATTCCCCTGTTTGGGTATCAGCCAGCACGTCAATGACTTAAATCTAGAAATAGTTTTCTAAGATCTACAGAGACACTCGCTGGAACACCTCAGCAAGCGAGAGTCCAAAAGTGGCAGGCTCAAACCCAGAACCTCAACCAATGGCTGATACCAAATGAGAGACTCCCCCCGGGCACACAGAAGACTGGGCGACTTGGAAGGCGCTGAACAGACTGCGCTCTGGCACACAAGATGCAGAGCCAACCTCAAGAAATGGGGCTACGAAGTGGAATCCACGACATGCGAGTGCGGAGAGGAGCAAACTATAGACCACCTGCTGCAATGCAACCTGAGCCTGCTACATGCACAATGGAGGACCTTCTTGCAGCATCACCAGAAGCACTCCAAGTGGCCAGATACTGGTCAAATCAACTACCAAACTCACAAATTTTGTATTTTGTCTGTTTGTTTGCTTTGTTCTGTTAGAAATGTAATATAATTGATTGGTTGCCCTGACACGACAAATAAAATTAGGTTGTACTTTTAGCCTTCTCTGTCAAAGGATGCTGGTGCCTTACCAGACTACAACTCCCAAGATTCCATACCATTGAGCCATGGATATTAAACTAGTGGCAAACTGCATTAATTCAAGGCACTCCCGCTCAACTTAGTTGACCCCACTACTATCATTTTTCTCAATTCTTTTTATAAGTCTGCCTTTCACTAGTCCAGAACTAAATCATGTCACTCCAGCTATTTGCTGAAATATTCGAAAGTTTATGGAGAAGGAAGCAATTTAGTAGAAAAGGAGCAATCTAGTCCCAGATCAAAGGATACAAACAAGGGTAACTGAATTATCTAAAGATTCTACATGTTATGTGAGTGAGTCTGGTCAATGTAAGGCTTGATCCACATTTTTGTGGACTACTACTAGTGCCTGCCTCAGGCTAGATATATGCTGTCATATAATCCAGTTTTTGAATCCAGATTATCTGCTTTTAATTGGATTATATGAGTCTACACTGCCATACAATCCAGTTCAAAGTAGATAATCTGGATTCCAAAACTGGATTATATGGCAGTGTAGAACAAGCCTGAGAGTTCCTGGAGAAGTCGAATCTGGCCATGTGCCTTGGTTACATCCCATTTTATTATTGTAATGTGCTGCTGCCTTTGAAAAGTGCTCAGGTCCAATGAGCAGCAGCCTGGAGATTAAGTGGGGCTGGCTATAGTGAGCACACAACTCCCTTGGTGCAACAGGTTTAATGGCTACCAGCTTGTATCCAGGCACAATTCAAAGTGCTGGTTTTGACCTATAAAGCCCTATATGGCTTGCATCCAGGTTATTTTAAGGACTGTACTCCTGTTATGAACCTAACAGAACACTATGCTCATCTCTCTTTGTGCCACTGTCTTCTCAAGCTTCTTTGGTGGGAACAAGAGAGGGGGCCTTCAAAGTGGCTGCTCCCAGACTCTGTAAATCCCTCCCTAGAGAGACCAGGATGACTTTATATTTTAATGTATTTACATTGCTTTTATTAGCATTGTTTCATATTCATTATTAGCCACTTTATCCTATATTAGGAGAAATGAGGGATACAAAATAAAAGTGAATAAATACATAAATATTGATTTTGGTAAAACTTACCAAAGTGAATGCCCTTGCCTTGGACAAGGAATATGTCCATCCTGTGGTATCCTTTCCCAAGTCAGATCAGTAGGAGTAACTGAAAATGAGAGTATTTTGAGATTATCTTGTGCACAAAGAGAAAAAAACCCGCCCACATGGGATGGTATTATAGTAAGACTCCTGTATGCATGGCAGATATGTTTCCAGTTGGATCGCATACATGAAACTTCAGATATGACCAAACATCATTAAATTATCTGACTTCCAGTCCCAGCATACCTTAGAATTGGTCTGGAGGATTTAGCAAATTCCTAGAGAAACTCTTTTCTTCTGAGTGTGGGTAAATGAAACCACAGATATGGGTTCCATGGTTATAGAGATCATATGTGGCTGCTTTTAATTACCACCCTACGGCTTTAATTCTAACATTTTTTTAAAAAAAACCCCACCACAATTAAAATTACATTTTTCTTATTGTGAATAATTGATTATTTTAAATACTTTGCCTATTTAACCTGACAGCATTTTGAAACATTAGTGAAACACTAGATATGTCTCAATAATGCTCAAAGATTTACAGTATCCTTTTGCTAGCATACATTGGTATAATCCCTGTTATATCAATGAAGATTGCTTTCTTTGGTTCTAAACTGTTATGCCAGCATACATGCTTTTAACACACTACAGAAGGATGTATTGCTCCCTGTGCCAGGACCCTTTGCTTTGGATGTGCAACAACAGCTGAGGGCTGCAGGGCAGAGCTCCACCATCTTGGCAGCTGATTAGTTTTGTGAGATCCCACCAGTACCTAGGGAAGAATATACAATTTTTTCAGGAGCAGAGGTTGTTTCCATTTCTATGGGTGAACAAGGGCACCCAAAAATCACCTGGGTGAATCCTTGCAGTCAACTGGTAGTTGAAGGAATGCAGTTACATTCAAGAGTTCCCAGCTGCTCCTACACGTCAGAGGAAGGCTCTTGGAAAGAAGGAACACTTTCTCCATCATCACTGATGTAAGTATGCTGGCAGAGATTCTGCAAGCAGTCTGTTGATACTCAGCCGGTCTATTTTATGTCCCTGCCATGAATAACCTCCACCCCAAGTTAGCAACCAGAAAGTGACACTACTGCTGCCACCAGCGACCTGCCAAAGGATTTGTCTCCCACCTCATGAAAGAATCCCAGGAGGTTGGTGACACAAATATCTTCAAGGCTAGCCAGAATGTGCCTTTAGGTTGATGAGCATGGCACAGCTTCACAATGATTTCACCTTATACTTAATGATAAGATGCAAAACAAATGAAATTATTGTGTTTTCAAAAAAATATTATATGAAAAGTTTGTATTTGGAATCAGACTATGTGGGGATCTGATTGACAAGGGAAATTCCCTGTTTAGGACTGTACCTCATATAGATAGGTAAGGTACGTACCTTAAAGAATATTGCAATTATTCTAGTTAGGTAAAGGTTTCCCCTGACATTAAGTCTAGTCGTGTCCGACTTTGGGTGGTGGTGGTCATCTCCATTTCTAAGATACTGAAGGAACAATTGGAACAAACTCCCCTTACCCTAGGGCTATTTCTGTCTCATAACCAAGCTTCTGCCTCCTAACCAAGGCTAAACCATTGAGCTGCTGAACTGCCAACCTAAAGTTGGCAGTTTGAATACCTGGGAGGGGGTGAGCTCCTGCTGTTAGCCCTAGTTCCTGATAACCTAGCAGTTCAAAAACATGCAAATGTGAGTAGATCAATAGGTACTACCTCAGTGGGAAGGTAAAACGGCACTCCATGAAGTCATGCTGGCCATATGACCTAGGAAGCGTTTACAGACAATGCAGGCCGCTCAGCTTGGGAATGGGAATGAGCATCTCCCTCAGAGCCAGATAAGACCACCATCTCCAGAGCCGGAGATGAAACTGGAAGCCTTTACCTTTGTCTGTGTATTTGTGTGTCATAGTGTTTCAAAGCATTGAATGTTTCCCTGTGTCTGTATATGTTGGAATCCGTTCTGAGTCCTCTCAGGGAGATAGGACGGAATACAAATAAAGTGTTGTTGGTGATGTTTTTGCTGCTGCTGCTGCTGCTGCTGCTGCTGCTGTTGTTGTTATTATTATTATTATTATTATTATTATTATTATTATTATTATATTAGCTTGAGCCAAGATTGGAATGGACAAAATAATCAATTTCATCAAAGAAAACCTGGAGTTGTGTGCCATTATTCACTTTAGAGCCTTATTTAGAATGGGGAGATTAGAAACTGCCCAGTATTTAACCAGGAAGGTCCAATGAAGTTTTTTTCAACAAAAATCATAAGTTCCCCTTTTAGAAATGTTGAAACAAGCCACAGATGATTAAATGCAGCTCCAAATCAATAATGAAGAAAGACTGTAGATAATTATATAGGAAATCTTGGAACCAGTTTGATTTCCAGATCACGATTAGTTACTCATACCGTAGAGTCCTGATACTCATTAAAGGCTTTTGTGAGAGCTTCTTGTCCGGCTGCTGCAGCATCAAACTAACATTGATCTGTATTAAATGGTCCAAGCAGATGGGACTATAGTCTCTTTCACAGAAACACATAAAACCTCCACCATCCAATTGGTCAGTCCTCCTCTGGCAGCTTTAATTAGACAGAGGTTTTTTATTTGTTTGTAACACACTTCCCCAAAATTATAGCGATATGCCTTTTTTGCATTTCAAATGACTGGCCCATTATAGTGAAATATGTGCAACTCCTGTGGGAGGAATAAACTCATGAATAAGAAGTCTGCTAGAAAAGATGAATGGTTTCTCACTTGTCAACATGTAGAAGTCATTTAAATATGTTGGCTGATCATCCTGGGAGAAAAAAGAGAGATAGATTGAATTTGGTATTTTTATTTACAGGACATCAGTATTGTCGTCTAGATAAGAAAACTTTAAAATTAAATTCATGTTTAAGCTATCTCAAGTGACTACTGCTAGAAATAATAGCTGAGCAGTTACCCAGAGAGCAATGGCATGTCTCTGAGATGACATTAGGCAACAATGAATAGAATGCAATAATTCTTAAGTAAATACTTGTGCACAGGGGAAAATCAAGAGGAAATGCACATGAGACACGCCACTTATTTTACTATACTGGCTTTGAACATTAAATGCTAATCAAATTAACAAGAAATAACAAACAAAACGGGTGGTACTTACACAAGTATTATGAAAGGAACAGCCTCCAAACATGAATGCTATATTTCCTGCAATAGCCAATGCATGCCCATGTCTAAAGAATAACATGGAAAAAAGTAATTAACTTCAGATGTGCCAATGACAGACTTTTTTGGTCTTCATTCAAATAAGAGAGAGGGAGAGGGTGAATTTATTAGTGTGTGTAGTGAATATATGTACGGCAGCTTTGAACGGGAATATATGCAGTGTAGGCTCAGATAACCCAGTTCAAAGCAGATATTATGGGATTTTCTGCCTTGATATTCTGAGTTGTATGACTGTGTGGAAGGGCCTTCACTTGGTGCCTGCAGGGATGGCCAGCTCACTAGGGATGATTGGTGCATTGGTTTTCCTTTGCATCGCGGGGGAGGGGGGCATTTGACATGTGTTATAATGTATTTTTTATTTTGGGGGTTTTAATGTCTCTTTTGCTGTTTTTGTGGGGTTTTTGAGTGATGGTCACTTCTTGGGTTAGTAGGTGCCTTGTGGCCAAATTTGGTGGCAATTCGTCCAGTGGTTTTTGAGTTATGTCACTGAAAATGAAAAGAACATTTTAGATAGATAGATTTGTTGTTCAATATTCTATTGTATCGGATGCAATAGATCAGATGCAAAAAAGGCCAGGGCATCTGGATCTTGAATAGTTGTGCAGAGGAGGATATTTCAGGATTGCTATTCTATGCCTGCTGAAATTCACTCTTCTAATCAAGTTATAAAGATGACCAGTCCATAGGCCAGCATAGTTTTCTTTTGCATTTTGATCAAGTGACAAATCCCAATGGCAGATTTTTAAAAAACTGGGTAAATCTCCCTTGTAGAATGACTTTAACTGCAAACCATCATTGCTATAAAATCCAGATAGTTGCAGTTTTACAAGGTCTCTAGCCTTCTCTGCCAAAGAGTGCTGGTGCCCCACCAACTACAAGTCCCAGGATTTCAAAGCATTGAGCCATGGCAGTTAATTTGGTGTCAAACCACATTAATTCTACAGTTTAAATGCACCTAGAGACAAGTTGGCAGTTCAGTGTTTGAGTGAACAGTGACAGAACCTCTTAAAGTTCTACCAGAGAGGATAATAAAATAATAATATTTATCATATACTTCCCAGGTGCCTAATTCATTAGAAATTTTCAGTGTTGAAACTCCTTCTGAATTTAATAACTGCCTCCCTTCCACCAAATCTTGGCTGAGAAAATGTGTTGAGACACATAGCTATGACAACGTCCCTATGATGACATAGCTGCCTTTCCCAATGCTGTCCCCAAAAATGTACTTTTAAAGCCATGTGCATTCATCAACAGAAGAATTTCGGAGGCACTGGAAAGCAGGGCGATGAGTAATTATGTGTCCTGTCCTCTTTAAGGCCCCATCTAAACTGCCATATAATCCAGTTCAAAGCAGATAATCTGGATTCAGAAACTAGATTATATGATAGTGTAGATGGGGTCACAGTTCTTGTTTGTTCTCTGACTTCATCATATGGGGCTAGATTGGGCGGCAAACACCAATGTAGCCCCAGTCACCCACAGAGCTGGCTGGCTCCAATCACATGATGTCATTCGTGAAGAACTGCTGGAGGAGCCTGGTAAAGCACGGCATTTGTTGGTGGCTTCCCAACGCTTGGCAGCAAACCGGATAGCTGCTGAGAGCCACTGCTGAAAGTATGATGAGGTGGAATGATCAACATTTATCTGAAAATCTGTTTACACACACGTATACGTCATCACCAGCTGCAAGGTAATAGGGTAAAGGTTGTACATGGTGCTCTAGAGAAAAAGAGAGCAAATTGTTGACTTCTGACTCCAATGACTACATCAGTCCTGTCCTTTCTTGACCACCAGTAAGATCAGCTATTAAGAACTATTTAGTTCCCATAGCAAGACATCACCTTCCCTTAACCCAGTGATTTTCAACTTGTGGGCCTCCAAATGTTTTGGCCTTCAACTCTCAGAAATCCTAAGAGCTGTTAAACTGGCTGGGATTTCTGGGAGTTGTTGGCCAAAACACCTGGGGACCCACAGGTTGAGAACCACTGTCTTAACCTAATGATGGACATACCCAGGTCTGCTCATTTTCCAGGGTACATTAATCATTTATCTTTATTTGAAAGCGAAAAGGGTCCTGGATTGCCTATGTCTTAGCACAGGGGTCCTCAAACTAAGGCCCGGGGGCCGGATGCGGCCCTCCAAGGTCATTTACCCGGCCCTCACAGGATCAACCTAAGTCTGAAATGACTTGAAAGCACACAACAACAACAATCCTATCTCATCAGCCAAAAGCAGGCCCACACTTCTCATTGATATACTAATAAGCTTATATTTGTTAAAATTGTTCTTCATTTTAATTATTGTATTGTTTTAATTGTTTTTACACTACAAATAAGATATGTGCAGTGTGCATAGGAATTCATTCATGTTTTTTTCAAATTATAATCCAGCCCTTCAACAGTTTTAGAGACTGTGACCTGGCCCTCTGTTTAAAAAGTTTGAGGACCCCTGTCTTAGCAGAATAGAAACTAATTTTGCAGACAAATACTTTTTTAGTTTGCCATGCATTTGATGAGTGACTGCATAAAGACCGTAACCACCTAAACAATGTACTGGATCCTGCTAATTGTTGTACTTCAGTGTGTTTGTATGTCTAATGATATATGTTTTAATCTGTTTTTTTATAATCTTGTTATAACTGTATGTTGACAATGTGCTCATGTTGCACCTTCTAAAAATGTTTCACTCAAAACTTAATTACACCAACAGTGTGACTCTTCAAGTTATGTTTGTGTGGTGATCACAAGCTCCCTGCTAAATATTTATTAGCACAATTTTTTTCAATATAAAAATTATCACCAAAGAGGTGTTATAGAATCAATGCAAAAAGCATTTGCAAACAGATGTTTTATTTCCTGTGTTTTTCCTAAACAGTGTTAAGCAAATATGAAGTGTGAAAAAATGCCTAGATTTGCTAATGCAACATTTTTGATCCTCTTAAACAATTTGAGCATATAATATTAATTGAATCTTTAATTTAAACATTTCTGTATTATCAGAGCTTAGTCCCACCACATTAACAGAAAATTGATATAGACTCCATTTGAAGTTTATCCTGTTTATTGCAATGCAAGAAGCAGGCCAGTGAATTAAAAGAACTTGATGTTCTCTAGGAACTTCCCCCCCCCCCCTCCACATACACACGTGTATATTTCACTATTCAGTTTTATTAAAATACGTGCAAATAAAATGAACAAACAAGTGTGTGAGAAAAAAGTCCGCTTTTCTCTTTATCATGACATACCTAGGAGTGGGAGGATCTCCAATTGCTTCTTTTCGAATCCAGTGTCCACTTGCTAATGCCATGTTGCAACTACTGAAAAAAATATTTTCAGATAAAAAGGTGTGAGTTGTTTTGACAGTATATGACAGACTTTTAAGAAATTGTTTACAAATGGATATTGTGTCTGGGTTCCAAACAACATAATGTGCGAATGAAAAACACAACTCCTATAGAAATGGGTGGAGACAATTGTTAATTATTTTTTAAAAAATCATTATTACATGAATAGAAAGACAGTCATAACAGGTCTGATAAGGCTCCTACAATTACTTTGTGAAAAATGCTCAAATAATGACAAAGCATGAGTCAAGACTGCTTCTCCCCCTTCGTTTCTTCTCATCGTGTTCTACTCACCTGCGTGCCTCAATTTTTCATTAAGAGCACAGGAAACAGTGTCTCAGCAAGCTCACTAAGCCGTCAAATATTAATTCCTTGTCTAGTTACCTACCTTGATAGCAGTTGCTATGATACTAAAGTACACAGGGAGAAACACGCACTTCGCAGATGTCATTCTGATTCTGCATTATTTCCGGGTTACTTGAAGTCATGGCAACATACATAAGTAGATACATTTCACACTGTATATCCAACCCACACAATGTACCATCTTCACATTGCTTTATAAGATAAAATTCCAAAATGTCTTAAATGACATAATAATGACCAGAGGCAGATTTTTTTTAACCTAAGGTTGGAATCGTGTAGACCAGCGCTTTGCAAATTGTGTGTTTTAACACGATAGTGTGTTTGCTGCAGTGTATAAGTGTGTTGTATGAATATAAGAAGAAACCTCTAAGTCTATGTGAAATAATATATTTTAGAAAAAAAAATAAAGGAAAACTTTTCCTGAGATATGTTGTGCTCCCACACATTTTGTTAATACAATTTCTCAGAAATGTCCATATGTATTATAAAGGGTTGGTTTAACCTCCAGTTTGCTAGTAAAACTGAATTACTGTGTCACAAAATTATGTATGTCTAAAAGGTGTCACCAACATGAAATGTTTGGAAAGCTCTGCTTGCCAGGATTTAAGCTCCTCTGAATTCCACAGAGTTTACATTTGAGATGGTATGCACAGAATTACATTGTAAGTAATTAAGCAAAATAACCAATACGGTGATACAAATACTTTGGAATGCACTGTGTAGACACACATAGGGTTGCATTACAAATTGGCTTAGCTCTATGACCTCTAGCTGGTTTCTCATCTTTGTAAAGCCTAGTCTCTCTTCCTCCCTTTCTTCCTGTCTCTCTGTATAGGAGAGTGGTAAGAATAGGTGTTATGAACTGGAATTCCCAGCATTCTTAATCATCATCATCATCATCATCATCATCATCATCATCATCAGGTATACTGACTAGGGCAACTGGTGGAATGACAGTCTAGCAACATCTGGAGAGACATGTAATTCCTACCCCTGGTGTATGAGATACTGCATAAATTTCTACTGCTTCAAGTAACTTCTTTGAAACAGTATGATTGATTCCTGTGACAAAGATCACAAGATTCTCCTACTTTCTATAGACACATCCAGAAGACCTCCTCAATGGATTGTCAAAAGGTCCTGAGGAGAGGACATGTGTTCCACTGAACCCAAGGGTGAAGCCATCTGAGTCATGTGCTTCCAGGGGGTCTCCCAGGGTGGCAAGGTCACAGGGGAGAAATCGGACCAAGCACAATCTGAAGTTTTCAATAGTCAAGGAGGCAGATGATAACATGGTACATGTTACAATGGATGTGAAGGTGGAAGAAGGCTGCAGCAGATGAGGGGCCACCAGTTGTCGGGTTAACCATACCACTGGATCGGAACCTATTTCTGTAAAGACTGTGTGTTGATCAAGTGTGCACTGATCTCTCCACACGTAAAACAAGCATCTTCCAAGAAAAATGAAAGAAAACCAATAAAAGTACTGTCGCGATCAGCTAGTGACAACAGGACAGGACTGTGAAATATGGAAGCCCCTAGCCACAGACTGGCACATAGGTGGGGATATTGACAAAATCATCATCCTGGATTATTTTAATGCAAGAGTTGGATGGGATTTTGACCTGTGGCCACTGTCCAGAGACTATAGGAAAAGACTGGGTTGGAAACAGCAACTCAAATGGCATCCTACTTCTCACCAAATGCATGGAACACAACCTTGTCATCACCAATATGCTCTTCCACCAGAAAAACAAATTTAGGACATCATGGAAGCACCCCTGATCAAAGCATTGAAATCTCTTAGATTATGTAATTATAATCTAAGAGGTTATAATCTAAGCCACAATGTGCTTCTCACCAGAGCCATGACAAACACCGATGACTGCTAGACAGACCACAGGTTAATTTGATCCATGATGACCATCAAGATTGCCCCCAAACACAGACTCCAAGGAAAAAAAGATAAGGAGTAAAGTGAACACCCAAGTCCTTCAAGAGCCCTCCAAATGAGCCCTTCTCCAAACAACACTCAAGGATCATCTGCCCATGGAACAACCTGAAAATGTTGAGTAACATTGGAATAAACTGAGCATAATGGATATGGACTGTGATCCTACACATTTACATGGAAGTAAGTCTACTGAGTTCAGTGACTCACCCCTATGTGAATGTGTATCATATTATAGTCATACTCTATTGCAGTATATTTACATGTGGATGGCAAGGAGTTAAATATGTTCTATAACTGCTTGGCAGCAACAAAGTTGCAAAGACAAACAACATTATAGTCTGCCTTGCAAACACTGTACTAACAGTTTATGACTGTCACAGCAAAACAATGGTAACAAAAACAAATCATTGTCTGCATATACAAACTCCCATTGCAAAACATTGGATCAAAATGAAATCTAATGAGACTATGCATATCAAGTCAAGAATGAGTGTGTTGCCCTCTTGGAATTGTTGAATTCTGAGAGGGCAATTTGAAACATATCTCCCTCTGTGAACCATCAAGGAGGTTAAGATCTTCTGGGGAGGCCCTAATCTCAGTCCCACCAGTATTGCAAGTGTGGTTGTGGGGATGAGATTAGATCAGTGTCTTCCCTCCTGGCCTATAGAAAGAGAACAAAGACATTGTTATGGAACCAAGCTTGTGACTAGTCAAGTGACAAAGTACAAGAAGTAATTATGGAAAATGTGTAATCGACATCTGAAATGGCCTGGTCTATGAGTTTGGATCATGTGATTTTAATGTTTTTATTAGGTGTTTTTAATTTTTACACTTCATGTTTAAATGTCCTATTATCTTATGGTGAATTTGTCTTTTGTATTTTATGCTTAGTCATATGCTGTTTGATTTATGATTTGGTTTATAATGGCAATATTTTTGCCATTATTTTTTTAAACTGCTTTGAGGTTTATAAAAACCTCAAAGGTGTGAGAAAAGCAGAATGGCTAATGCTTACGAATGATGGGACCTGTACTCCAGTGTCTTTGGAATCATGTTTTCCCCTCCCCTGCATTACATATGGCAGTAGCTTTCCTATAGTCAGGAAAAAAAAGTATCATTATACTTTTAAAATCAAACAGATGAACTTATTGCACTTTCAAAGCCCCTTTGACAGCACAGCTGGTCTCTGTAAATGGGTCTAGCAAACTGTCCAGAGGTCTAGCAAATTGTCCAGAGGAAGGTACAAGCAAACTTTCACTGAACTTATCCTGCCAAGAAAACTTTGCAATGGGCTTACCTTAGATTGTGGTAAGTTGGAAATTGCTTTAAGGCAAACAACAACAAACCCATATTTCCACTTTGGCACAATTGCCCTCCAGTTTTTAGGACAAATGAAGAGAGCTTTCACTGGCAAGCTAGAAGAAACATACTTCTTTCTGCCTTGGTTCCTTGCTTTGCTTGCAGCAGCACAAGCATCTGACATCACCACCGACAGTGGCGCCCGGTTGGCATTTATACCAGAGAGGTGTTGGATCCAATCCAGGTTTTAGTCTGACCTTCAGAGATGTTATCTAAAAGGGCTGAAAAACGATCATTGAACAGGTTCAAAACCCCGGATAGTGCTATGCCTGCTGAAATTCACTCTTCCAATCAAGTTTTAATCAGTCTAATCAAATGAGCCCAGTCTGCATTTGCATTAGGCTAACATAGTTTTCCTTTGCATTTTGATCAAGTGACCAGAGATTTTGTATTTGCCTGTCCCAACAGCAGATTTTTTTTAAACAGAGGGTAAATCTACATTGCAGAATTAATGCACCACTATAACTACCATAGCTCAGTGATATGGAATAATGGAAAAAGTTGTTTTACAAGGACTTTAGCCTTCTCTGCTAGAGTGCTGGTGCCTCACTAAACTGCAAATCCCAGGATTCTATAGTGTTGAGCCATGACAGCAAAAGTGGTGTCAAACTGCATTAGTTCTATAATGTAGATGAACCCATTAAATTCAAATAGGTTTTATACTTGCCTTCAAGTTGTTTCTGGCTTATAGCAATCCTAAACGGACCTATCATGGGGTTTTCTTGATAAGATTTGTTCAAAGAGGTTGATATTGTGTTCCTCTGAGGCTGAGAGGAACCTCAGTGTGGTTGATATTGTGTTCCTCTGAGGCTGAGAGGAACCTCAGATTCCTTACAGACATGGAAGCTGCTAGCTACCAGTGACCATTAGGGTTAATACGGTCCATTTGGGTTGTTCATACTGCATTTATGCCTTGCCATTGTTGTAGAAGAGCTCTTCCTACCTGATAAATCCTGACAATTGCACAAAAAGCTTTTGTTGTTGTTGTTTTAGGCTTATTTGAAGTTAAGAAAACATTTTCCATCATTGTGCTCCTGCCAAATCAAAATAAATTAAACTGTCCATGTGGCCTGCAGATCTGTATTGTTTAGTATTCGCCCTTGCCGTAAGATAAATGTAACACTATTCACTGTTGCTCATCAGTAATACACTTGGGCAAGAGAAAAATGATTAAACCAGTCAGGATGGGGCATTTGGATGCAGTCCAATGTATGATTACGCATTTCTTACCAGCTTTGTGATTTCAATACTTTTGACTTTTTTCCAAGTAAGTCACAATTTAAACTACCAAAGCCATAATGATGGTATTTAAATGATGACTGAAACTGTAAGCTCTTAAGTCTTCCTTAATTATTAGGAAAAAAAATTCTGTTGTCACACTGAAGCAAAAAAAAAAAAACTAAGTTAAGTAACAAATCTAATACTGAACATAAGTTGGATCACTACATTCTAATTAATATAAGTGCTTATGTATGCAATTGGCCATGGTTTTCTATTAAATGAGGTCCACAGTTACCTACTTAATGGGACATTTATTATATGGCTTAAATTAGAAGGCTTTTCTTCCCACTGGATCTGCTTAATGATGAAACTAATATATTAGAGTAGAATCCATGATGCCAAAATAAAGGCTTGCTGAATCAAAGTTGGTGCTTCATATATAACTGTTCTCAAATTCAGTCCCCTCCCCTCTTTCTGTGCTCCTTTAAGTTGCCTGTCAATGTATGCTGATTCCATAATTTTTATGGGATTTTCTTAGGCAAAGAATAATCAGAGGTGGTATTATCAGTTCCTTTCTCTGAAATATAGCCTACAACACCTCGCATTCCCACCCAACTGGTTGATCCTGCTTATTGTCCAAGATCAGATAGGATTTGGTACCTTAAGGGCAGGGCCCCCCAAACTAAGGCCTGCGGGCCAGATGCGACCCTCCAAAGTCCATTACCTGGCCTCTGCCCTAAACCTTAGACATAGGGTTGCCCTAAGTCTGAAAGGACCTGAAGGCACACAACAACAATCCTAATTAACTTGACTATCTCATTAGCCCAAAGTAGGCCCACAACTATGGTTAAATTATTCTTCATTTTAAATATTGTATTGTTCTTTCATTTTTGCACTACAAATAAGATATGTGCAGTGTGCATAGGAATTTGTTCATGTGTTTTTCAAACTATAATCCACACCCTCCCTCAATCAGTCTGAGGGACCATGAACCAGCCCTCTGTTTAAAAAGTTTGAGGACCCCTGTTATAAGATATTTAGGCATTCCAGCCCTATGTTTTATATTTCAAAGCAAAGCAAAGCAAATTTGAGGTTTTGACAAGTACTTTAGCTATTTATTTATTTATTTATCTATCTATCATGTCAGAAGCAAATTGGGAATACAGTTATAACGTATAAAAAACTACAAAGTTACAAACTTTGCATTATACTAAATTTCCTTTGACCAGAAGCTGGCCACTTCAAGTGCCTCTGGTGTTGCTGTAAGAAGGTCCTCCACTGTGCATGTGGCAGGGCTCAGTCTGTATTGTAGGAAGTGGTCTGTGGTTTGCTCTCCTCCACACGCACATGTGAACTCCACTTTATAGTCCAATTTCTTAAGATTAGTTCTGCATCTCGTGGTGCCAGAGCACCTTCTGTTCAGCCTCTTCCAGGTCACCCAGTCTTCTGTGTGCCCAGGAAGGAGTTTCTCATCTGGCATCAGCCACTGATTAAAGTTCCGGGTTTTAACCTGCCACTTTTGGACTCTCACTTGCTGAGGTGTTACTGCGAGTATCCCTGTAGATCTTAGGAAGCTATTTCTTGATTTAAGACCTTGGAATGCTGGCTAATGTCCGAACAGAGGAAGGGCCGGAGATGTTAATGCCTTGGTCCTTTCATTACTGGCTGCTACTTCCCGACGGATATCAGGTGGTGCAATACCAGCTAAACTGTATAATTTCTCCAGCAGTGCAGGGCGTAGACACCCTCTAATAATGCTGCATGTTTCATTAAGAGCCAGAGCTGAAACTCTGGGAAACCGGTGTTCAAATCCCTACTTCAGCAAGTCACACTGAGGTTCCTCTCAGCCTCAGAGGAACACAATATCAACCTCTTTGAACAAATCTTATCAAGAAAACCCCATGATAGGTCCGTTTAGGATTGCTATAAGCCAGAAACAACTTGAAGGCAAGTATAAAACCTATTTGAATTTAATGCAGTACTAGATCACCTAGGTCAGTTGTTATTGGGGTGCCTTCAACTTGTTTCCAATTTATGGTGATAATAAATTTTGTAGAGTCAACCTTGTTTGTTCAGTGGTTTGGGACTTCAGACCAGGGTCCAAATCGCCGCTTGGCGATGGAAACCGCTGGGAGACCTTGGGCAAGTCATTCCCTCTCTCTCAGCTTTTGAACAAATCCCATTAAGAAAACCCAGTGATAGGTTTGCCTTGGGATTGCCTACAGTCAAAAAAGACGAAGTCAAACATGAATTGCAGTCCCAGAACCAGCAATTCCTAATAATTGAGTAAAATAATAAAAAGTAGCTCTGTTCTATTATACTGTGTATCCCTACTGTGTAGGGATTTATTGTATTGATTTGTATGATTTAAATTGTATTTATATTAATATTATATTGTATTATTTATATTTTGTTCTGCTAAAACACACACTAAGCCCCCCCCCCCCCACACACACACACATTATCTGCTTTGAACTGGGTTGTATGGCAATGTGGACTCAGGTAACCCAGTTCAAAGCAGATGTGTGATTTTTTTGCCTTGATATTCTGGGTTACATAGTGTGGGCCCATAGGTCCCTTCCACGCAGCTGTATAAAATCCCACATTATCTGTTTTGAACTGGATTACATGACAGTGTAGACTCATATAACCCAGTTCAAAGCAGCTGATGTGAGATTTTATTCAGGTGAGTGTAAGGGGCCTGGTTTATATGGCAGTGCGAACTGGCCCTCAGATAATCTTGGGCCCTTCCACACATCCCTATATCCCAGACTATCAAGGCAGAAAAGCCCACATTACCTGAGTGTGGACAGAGATAACCCAGTTCAAAATAGATATTTTGGGTTATATGGCTGTGAGGAAGGGCCCATAGCCACACTCCATTGTTTGAGCTGTTAGAGCCCTTCCACACAGCCATATAACCCAGAATATCAAGGCAGAATATTCCACAATATCTGCTTTGAACTGGAATATATGAGTCCACATTGCCATCTAAGTTCAAAGCACATAATGTGGGATTTTATTCAGTTTTGTGGAAGGGGCCAACAGTCAAGTAACCCAGAATATCAAGGCAGAAAAATCCACAATATCTGCTTTGAACTGGGTTATCTGAGGCGACACTGCCATATATCCCAGTTCAAAGCCGATAATATGAGATTTTATTCAGTTTTGTGGAAGGGGCCACAGTCATGTAACGCAGAATATCAAGGCAGAAAAATCCCACAATATCTGTTTTGAACTGGAATAAATGAGTCCACACTGCCATATATCCCAGTTCAAAGCAGATAATATGAGATTTTATTCAGTTTTGTGGAAGAGGCCACCAGTCATGTAACCCAGAATATCAAGGCAGAATAATCCACAATATCTGCTTTGAACTGGGTGATCTGAGTCCACACTGCCATATATCCTTGTTCAAAGCAGATATGTGGGATTTTATTGGGGAAAGGGCCACAGTTATGTAACCCAGCATATCAAGGCAGAAAATCTGCTTTGAACTGGAATAAATGAGTCCACACTGCCATATATCCCAGTTCAAAGCAGATAATATGAGATTTTTTTCAGCTGTGTGGAAGGGCCCTCAGTTCAAAGCAGATATTCTGGATTATATGGCTGTGTGGAAGGTCCCACAGTTAGGGCTCTTCCACACAGCCCTATATCCCAGCATATCAAGGCAGAAAATCCCACAATATCTGCTTTGAACTGGGTTATCTGAGTGTACACTCAGACAAAGTGGGTTTTTCTCCCTTGATATTCTGGGATATAGGGCTGTGTGGAAAGTCCCAATAGTCACTGGCCATCATTGGATCTGGGAGTGTGAGAGACCACAAAGCCCCGCCCCTCCTCCCTCACGGCCCCGCCTTTGCAGAGGCCCCTCCCCTTTCTCTCTGTGTGCGTGACGCCACCTCCGGAGGGAAGTCGCGAGGCAGAGGCGGGGCTAATTCCCGCCGCCGCCGCCGTTGCTGCTGCTGTTCTTGGTGGGGTCACGCGCCCTGGGCGGGGCCTGGCGGGGAGTGGGCGGGGCCAGGGCTGAGGCGGAGCGGCAACGACGACGCCTCAGAGAGAGGGAGAGAGCGGCAGTCGCTGGTGCCTCGTCCGCCGGCCTTTCTCCGCCTCCTCCTTCCCTCCCGCGACGGTGGCAGCGGGTGAAGGAGCCGCTGGCGGGAGGCCGCCCGGAGCCCCGGCCTCACCTCCTCCTCCTCCTCCTTTGCCGCCGCCTGGGCAGGATGGGAGCGCCATGAGCCCCGAGCCGGAGCCGCCTCCTCCGCCTCCTCTTCCCCCTCTGCCAGGCGCAGGGCCGGAGGTGGTGGCCCTGACTGTGGCGGCGGCTGTGGTGGAGGGCGACGCGGCCAAGAAGTGCGGGAGCCGCATCATGCTGGTCCGGAGGAGGGTCGGCCTCAAGCCTGTCGGCTCGGCCGCTTCGGTGAGTCGCTTTCCTTACTGAGGGAGGGAGGAAGGGGGCTTCCCGATAGGCCTCCATCCGCCTTCTTGGGCAGCCTGGCCTCCTCTTGCTTTCTCCCCTCCTCGAGTAGCGAGGCCACCCACTCTTCCCCACCGCCTGATCCAGGGTGCATCTGCACTGGAATTAATACAGTTTGACCCCACTTTCACCGCTCTGGCTGAATGCTATGGGATTACAAGGTCGTTCGCCTCCTCTCCCTGACTCCCAGGCATCCATAGTATTCAGCCATGGCAATTATAAAGAGGGGGCAAACTGCAGCAATGCTACAGTGCAGGTCAGGCATGGGCCAACTTGGGCCTTCCAGGTGTTTTGGACTTCAACACCCACCATTCCTAACAGCCTCAAGACCTTTTCTTTCCTAATAATAATWATAATAMTCTTTATTTATACATCGGCATACTGGGTGCAATACCTAAAGACCTTGGCCTGCACTTAAACACAATCRGCACTGACAAAATTACCMTCTGCCAGCTGCAGAAGGCCACCTTATTGGGATCTGCATGCATCATTCGCCAATACATCACACAATCCTAGACACTTGGGAAATGTCCAACGTGTGATCCARTTCAACAGCCAGTAGAGTGTCTGCTGTGGACTCATCTTGTTGTGTTTATAATAATAATAATCTTTATTTATACCCCACCACCATCACCCCGAAGGGGACTTGGGGCGGCTAACATGAGGCCAAGCCCATAGATRCAWTACAGCAAAATAAAGTGCAAAATACAACAAAAATTACATCACAATRAAGTACATACAGTGGCAAAATAAAATAAACAAAGCAAAATAGAAAACCGAACACAATGGGCAGGCCAAACCGACGAGATGAAATGATAAAACCCTGGGTGGGGTGGCAGAGGGTGTTTGGAATGATGGGAATTCAAGTCCAAAACACCTGGAGGGCCCAAGTTTGCCCATTCCTGTTCTATACAGTGGAATGAATACAGTTTAGTGCCACTTGGACYGCCATGGCTCAAAGAAAAAAAGAGAAAAGGAAGGAATGATAAAGGGAGAGGGAAGAAAAGAATAGGAAAGGAAGGAATAGTCCAATCTAGGTCTATGTTTGGATTGGGCTGTTGCAATGCTCTCTACGTGGGGCTGCCCTTGAAGACAGCCCAGAAACTTCAATTGGTCCAGCGATTGGCAGCCAGACTCCTAACGAGTGAATTACAGGGAGTGGTCAACCCCCCTGTTTAAGGAGCTCCACTGGCTGCCATTCATTTTCTGGTCCAAATTCAAGGTGCAGGTAATCACCTGCAAAGCCCTGAATGGTTTGGGACCCACCTACCTTCGTGATCGCATTTCCTCTTATGAACCTGCATGATCTCTTTGATCTTCAGGGGAGGCCCTCCTCTCGCTTTCACTTCTGTCACAGGCGTGGCTCGTGGGGACGAGGGAGAGGGTCTTCTCCATGATTGTCCCCCCAGCTCTGAAACACGCTCCCCAGGGAGATTAGACAGGCACCCACCCTCATAGCCTTTAGAAAAAAAATTAAAACCTGGCTTTTCCGGTGTGCCTCTGGGGACTGAACAACCAATTTCCATGCCATGTCCCATCCCAAGTCCAACTTGTCTTTCTGATGCTCTTCACCGTATCTCTCAGTTGAAGTCTAATTCCACTGTTATCCCGTCCGAGCCCTTCACGAACCATAGCACTTCTACCTATCTCACCTATGGGTTTTATCAATTCTATCCACTTTTAGTCATGGGTCTCGCTCTCTTCGTCTATTTCTCTTACCATTTTATCATTTGTTTTATTATGGTTTATATTTTTATTTCACTATTTTATTAGTAAGCATTTTATTTGTCTTATTGTCTTGTTTATATGTATTTTTGCTCCATTGTATTCGTTTGGGCTGGCCTCATGTTAGCCTCCCTGAGTCCCTCTGTGGAGATGGTGGTGGGGTATAAATAAAGAATAAAGTTTATTGTTATTCATTATTAATAAGGAAGTAGTGATGAAGAGAGGGAAGTAAAAAAAAAGTGGCTTACAACAAAAGAAAACATACAGTACCAAAGTTAAACATGGTTAAAATCAAATCTTCATAATCTGTTACCATAAAACCCCTTTCAATATCCAGCAATTAAATCTTAAAACTCAACTTGAATCCTGGCCTCCCAGTGTGCATCTACATCAGGCAAGGGCAAACTTTGGCCCGCTGTTAGGAATTGTGGGAGTTGAAGTCCAAAACATCTGGAAGACTGAAGTTTTCCCATGCCTGATCTACACTGTAGAATTTCATTCTGTTTTACCCCGCCTTTAACTGCCATGGCTCGATGCTGAGGAGTTCTGGGAATGTTATATGTAATTGGGTGAGGCATGAGCATTCCTTTGCAGAAAAAGCAAGTGAAACACCTTATGGACGTACTGTTCCCATGATTCCACAGTATTAAGTTATAGCAGTTAAAGTAGGGTCAGACACTATCTAGACCAGGCATGGGCTAACTTTGGCTGTCTAGGTGTTTTGGACTTTAACTCCCACAATTCCTAACAGCCTGTTCTTCGATCTTCAGGGGAGGCCCTCCTTTCGCCCCTTCCTTCATCACAGGTACGACATGTGGGTATGAGGGAGAGAGCCTTCTCTGCTGTGGCCCTCCGGCTGTGGAACAATCTCCGTGCAAGCAAAAGAATGATTAAAGCAGTCCCCCGCCCTTATGTTTACAGTTGAGTCAAAACATAATATGAAAAGGAAAGGGGGTGGCAGTATGGGAAGGGATGCAGATGCGGTTTCCATCTTGCTTTGAATTGTACAGCTTCTTGAGAACCTTTTATGGGCTTTGATTCTGGGGGAGTCGATTCAGATCCAAATAAACTTTTTCTTATGAGGGCTTATGCCCCCAAACTTCCCCTCTCCTTCTCATATCCACCTGCAGAAGAATAATGCAAATATTGTTCCTTTTTTCTGGTTATTTAATAGATTTTAAGACCTGGCTCCAGCACAGAAAACTACACGCCTTACCCACATTCCAAACAGGAATAAAGCAGTTTGTTTTGGGAAGGGCTTATAAAATGCTTCTCAGTTCCTTGCATTTCCTTTAGGAGCTTTATTACACTGTTGCCATGTTTTATTTCTTTGGTAAAAAAGCTGTACACACATGAAAAAGTAAGTTCCAGGAAGTTAAGTGGAATTTATAACCAGCTGTATAGTTCTTAGTAGGTCTTAATCCGCAGGCATTTTGAAAGTCCATCACCACACCTTGCAAAGTAGACAAGTGTTTCGGTGTTGGAGACCAGCAGTTATCCTCTCCCATCCCTAATGTTTCAGAGATCAGTAGTAGATTTGTCCTCGTTGGGTGCAACTTTCTCTTTTCTAGAAACTCTCCACAGAGCAGCAGCCAGCATTTTATGGCCAGTACTCATCCAGGAACCATCACTTTAAGAAACAATGGGCTTCTCAAACTATATTTTCTATTCTGTATTTCACTCTTCCTGTTTATCTTACGTTGTGTTATCCTCAAGTAGGTGTTCCTGGTTCCTCTGTTCTGAAATCTTTCCCCATATTTTTCCATTTTTGCCATTAAGCTTTCTGGTTAGGCTTCCTTTTAGGTGGTTGTCTTAAGACTGCTTAATGTTCTCTGTCACATGCTTGATGTTTTTCATGTTAATTTGTAATTTCCAGCACTGAACAGATATAATGCAGGCAAACCTCAATAAAGACAGACTTTGATGAAGGGGTTCTTTTAAATAGGAATCCACCGTATTTTATGGGAATCCACCGTATTACCTCCTTTTCTTGTCTTCTGTCTAGCTGGAAGAGGGTTTTTTTTAAAGGGGGGGGGGTTGTTTTGTGTTTGAGAGGAGGTCTTTTTCTGTTTTTGCAGAATTTGCATTAGGAGGATGGATAAAAAGGGCTGGTGATAGAATCACTTTCAGAGTTGTGTTTTTGCAGCATGTGTGTAGTAGACAGCACAATAAAACCTGATACAGAATCTAATGGGATCCTGTACTAGGTGATCCTTTTGTAGGTGCGTTTGTTTATATATCACTCGTAAAGAAAGCCTCTGCCTACAGAATAACTTACTGAGCTTGTGTAAAGTGTAAAACAGGGGGTGGGGGAAAGGGGGGGGGAGAGATTAGCATGTCTTACCAGTTATCATGGCATTTATAATTATAGATCTATAATTTTTGCCACCAAAATGAAAATCATAAAAACTAGAGACTGTTGAAATTAAAAGAATTGTCCTGTGCTGCATTTTGTAAGAAGTCTTCAAGGGATCTCTAAAAGATTAAAAAAGTTTTTAAGTTTACTTATACAAGTTTTACCTGATGTAGTAGTTTGATTTCACAGGTACATGCTGCTAATTTTGAGTAAAAACATGCTGCTAGTTTTGAATAAAAAGTTGAACGGTTCATATTTGTGGTTCAGGTGCCTATTCCTGATCTTTCTATGTTATTTCCACTTTTTATGACAAACTCAGTTTTTGTTAACTGTGTTTACCTGTACTTTATGGAACACACAAAGAATTGACTTATTCTAAACATTATTGGTTGCCAATAATTGATCAAAATTGTGGACTTTCTGATGACATGAAGGAGATTTCATTGGCGTATAGGCATTGTGTTCTTGGATTGCCACATACGTTGCTAACATAATAAATTTGGAATAAATGTATCTTGGAGATAATTCAGACATTAATTTGACACTGAAGATTGAATTCACAGAAATAGTTTGTGTAGTAGCTAATCAGACAGTGCACCTCTTGATATTGGAAGTTATTATGTAATCTGGTACAGAGATGTGGAATATATGTGGTTTAGTACTTGGTATTCCTGAGAGCAGTGATGGATAGCAAGGGCAGAAAACAAAGGCATCCCCCAGAGACACCTGTCTTATGTTGTCTTCTCTGCTATTCGTTCAGTAGCTCAAATGTAAAGTGCAAATCATTCATAATGCCAACTTTATAGAAGCTGCTAGCACTGAGACTCGCAGTACATATTGCATTAATGTTTGTTTCCATTTT